GGGCCCCCGGGGGGGGAGCCTCGGGGGCCCGGCCTGCGGCCCGGAGCAGGCGCCCGCCGCGCCCCGGTGGTTTCCCCGGCGTGTGCCTCTGTGGGCGTTTTTCCCGGGTCTCTGTCCGACGCAGGTGCAGTTTTGGCCGTTTGCAGACCGCTCTTTTTTTCTGGGGGAAAAAACAAACAAACAAACAAACAAACAAAAAAAAAAAAACAAAAAACCCCAAACCCCCAAAAACGTCGTTTTATCGCTTTAGCTTTTCGTCGTGTGGGCTGTTGGGTGGAAAAGGCTGGTGAAGAGCCTGTCAGGCGAGTCTGGCCAAACACAGCGAGGGTTAAATTAACAGCTACAGGTGTTGGCGCTGTCCCGCCTTCCTGGCGGGAGCAAGGTCAATTCGGAAAGGATTTTAACGATTTAGTTGTTCATATAGGATCAAACGTTGTAGCTTTTTTGCCGAAAAGTGTGCCATAGAGGGAGTTTGTTGGATGAACTGGCATTTCTTTTTCTGAACAAACTGGATGCTCCGTTGCAAAAGTTGATAGTTGTACTCCTGATGAAGTGGCTGCCTACCTGTCATTTAACAACGGGGTCGTCTGTCCTGAAAGCATGCTTCGGAAAGGTTTTTCATACAAAAAGTCCTCACTGGGATCATGCCTAAACTCTTCAGAGGCTTAGTTTCTCTCTTATTCTCTTGGGCTGGCTTCGTGTTTCGGCTGTGACAGCTCCAAGCAGGCAGTTGTCCTCTGTGGCTGGTGTGCTGCTGGGTACGAGCTAAGAAATGGTTTTGAGAGGATGGATCTTACCCGTCAGATTTAGTGGTGTGCTAGTAATGTGTTTACGTGAAGGGTGGACAGCAGGGTTAGGCCAACCCTAGAAGTTAAAAATGTCCTACCATATGTGCAGTAGCCAACTTTTTGAAGGCAAGCACTTGGCTTAGGACTCTGTAGTGGTAGATCACCCTTGTCTAGAAGGGTTTATGGGCATACCAAATAGCAGACCCCATCTGAATTATTTGCTCAATATGTTGGGAAGACGATGATAAATCTCCCCCAATGAAGAAATTGAAAAATCAGAACTCCCATTGTCTATATATTTTCAAACATGTTAGAGTATTTGCCTGTGTCAGACTTCATCAAAAGTACAAGAAATTGGCGGTAAAGCCAACGGAAAGATTGTAATTGCAAAAAACTTGAAGATTTAATTGGGACAAACCCAATTCTTTTTCCTAAAATCCCTGTGTTATTAGTTAAAGTACAAGTCCTAAAGGCTTATAGGATTTTTGATACTAAAGTTTCCCATCATGTTCTTTTGTGCAATGCTTTTTATTTAAGGTTTTAAATCATTTAGTTTTTATAATTCACACTGTGATCTTGCCTCTACAACAGTTACAATTTTTTCATGTTAAAGTATAATCAATTTGTTTTCTTTTGAAAATGTCAAATTGAAACAAGTTAATTCACCTCAAGGGGGCATCTTGGCCATAGAAATAGTTTATTGTTTAGCAATGAACAAGTAAAACCAAAACCTAGTTTCTAATTTACTGTTTCTCTTTGCTAGGTCACTGTTCCATGTAAGAAAAATTACAGACTGCAAATATGGGAAAGAAACGGATCAAAGGCAAAACTGCACCGTCTGATGACTCTCTGGATACGCTGGGTGTGTTTCCTCAGAGAAGTCTGTGGTCCTAATGTTTGTTTTAACCTCAAAGAGGGCTTGAAAACTCATTAATATTAGAAGACCTTTACACTAGTCACTGGCTTTGAAGTCTCATTTACCAAGTGTGGGTTTGTATAATTGAAACTGAGGTCTACCAAGAAACATTAGTGTTGCTACTTTTCTAACTATGCTAGAAAATAATAATCCTGTCTTGAAAACCAGGATTATTTTCTGGTTTTCAGGAAACTCAGAGACACTGTTCTTTACTGGTACACAGATTGTATTGAATTGTGTAAAGTTCCTCAGAATATGACGGGTTTGTAGAGTGCGCTGCTAAGCTTGTCACAATACGTTGAAGTAGCATTTTCCTAATGAAGATTTTGTTGCAGAAGATTCTCACTTCAGCAAAAAAGATTGTGAGTAAAATATTTCTGTGAAACCATTTCTCTTTACACTAGCAACTAACTTAGTACTGGCCCTGGACAGCTCAGCTGTCTAGTCATAGTGTTTTTTCATTTAAACCTTTCTCTTCCTTGCCTTCTGTTCCTTTAGAGAAAATCCCAAATTGTTAATGTTATCCTTCTACCTGGATCTCACCCTTCTGTTGAAATTTTATTTGTTACTTTGTTTACCCTGGTTATTCTAGTTCTTGGTTTTGCTCGTGCTGTGTGGCATTCTCTTCTACCATCTTGTCTATAAGGTCACAGATTGTGTCTTGCCCTTTTTTTTTGTTGATCCCAACTGGGGAAACAAGTTGAGCCATGCTAATTTAGCTGGGAGAGAGAGCACTTACAGTTTTAGCCAAGAGGCTCAGTGTGATGGCCTGTTTATTTTAAATTCAAGTCTACTCTGCTTTTGTTTCCTGGTTGTCCTGGTCTTGTGGTAGCTTCTGTCTCCTATGGCTTTTTAGCTTCTTTTGTCCCTTTTTTTTTTTTCCCTCCCCTCTGGAGTCAAGATCAATGTCTGCTATGACTGTGCCTCATTTTTTTTCAGCAAAAAAAATTCAGTTATGGTGCAATTGCTGATGGCATCTCACTTCTTTGGCTAAAAATAGGCTAGGTTACCCTGACAAAGTCCTGTAAAGCCACAGATGTAGGCTAAGACTGATCATTGTGAATAATTCCACTGTATAGTAGTGGCCAATATACAAAAGGTTTGTTTAAAAAACACAGTTTTTAAGTGGTAGATGAAGCTTGTGTTTTTTAAAAAGGCTTAAAGAATGCATCTAAACATCTGTAATCGGTTCATATTGGCTAGCATTTGTACTGTGGTAAAATCCTATAATCTTGGACAGAAACAGAACTGTAGGTACAAAACTTTTCACGAGTTTCAGCTCATGCCAAGAAAAGTTTGCTATCTCGAGGCTGTAATCTTGCATATGGTCCTCAACAAAGATAGATTGAGAGCTGTTATGCTATCTGAGCAATAAAAATACCTCTGTAGCAAAGGACTTAAGACAGTTGAATTTTGTAAACGGCTATGTAATTCTTCTCAATAATAGTCTCATAAAAATGTGATTTTTTTTTTTAACGTATTAAGTACATACAGCATTTTTCCTTTAGCATGTTTTTGTTTACTCTGCTTTTTGACTTTCGAGGTAACTCTTTGTGCTGTTGGATATTTGACTCTGTATTTCCAAATTTAAACGTGTAACTGCAAATAGTGAAGAATTGTAGGCTAATGATGCTAAATGTCTTAAAACCTACACTGTAAAAAAAAAAAAAAAAAAAAAAAAAAACCAGAATAAAAAGGAAATTAAAATATGTTCCTCATTTTTCATTTGGAAGAACTTGAATCAGTTTCCATATACATTGTCTGTCAATTGCAATTTCTCTGTACGTGACTTGGGCTTACAGACAGCTTCTCTTCACGCAAGTGACAGTGTAACCAACAACCTTAAAAATTAAACAAAAAGGAAATAAGATAATTAAACTCCTGATAGTAGCTGTTAGCGTCAGGTGCCTGTTCTCGGTATAACCATTCTTAGCAGAGTTTGGTTAAATAGATGGAGTTCACACCAGGCCCAGAAGGTGTAGCTCCAAGTAGGGTGTAGTGCTGTAGTTCGAAGTGACAATGGTATAGGTAGAATGACTCTGCCATTCTTTTTTTTACTATAGTCTGCATAATTTCACTGAGGCAGCTCAGCTGGAAGTATAACCTCCATAATCTCCACTTTTATAGGCCAGCCAGGTGCTGCTTTGGTGACTGGGAACTGTGGCAGTGGGCTGTGGCTGCTCCCTGGGAGGTGTGGGAATCATAACGCCACAATAATAGAAGCCCACAGCCTGGCACAGTAGGTAGGTCTGTACCCAAAGGTTTTGTCAACTGCTCTGACTAGATGTAGATTTGAGTGATGCTTTTTTTTTTTTTTTTTTTTTTTGGTAACGCAGTAGTTTAGGATGAAGCAACAATATCCCCTGTTTGTGAATGGGGGTCACAAAGGGTTTCTTTCTGATACGTCTGCTAAGTTGTCAATGTTTCTTCAACTCTAGAAAGGCTATCCTAGCTTCTGGATTGCTGTCTGTGTCTTTGAAGCCTAGAAACATTTGCATTTGTTATGATACCTACATCCTTCTT